AAGGTCTAAGAGGATAGCTTCCCTCTGAGTAAAACTCCAGCTGAATCAGGGTTTTTCCCCCAAAAATCGATACCCCCGCTACTTTCAGCACATTGTAAATGCATGAAATGTTCTGTCAAACACATGTATTTATGCTGCTGTTTGATGGAATTACGACGGTAAAAGCCAACCATGTCTTAGTGGTGTCACTTAGACCGCATTTTCTTGTCTCTTTACCATGTTTTCCTATTTTTTATTTATTTCTTAACAGCAGCAGCACCGTAGATGCTATCCAAGCTGCAAGACGTCCATGCTGCCACAGGCTAACACCTGCACTCTTTTAATGACTGTTTTCTGTGCCGGCTATGCTTGCTGCAAGAGAAATGTAAATGTATGCATGTGTGTGCATGTGTTGTGTGTGTGTGTTATTAAAGTAAAATGCACACAGTGGTTAAGTTCCTGTGCTCAGCAGAGTCTGGGGAAATACAACCTTGTGTTAAAAAGTCATTAGGGAGCTGATGAAGGTGTTTGAGAGTCACAGCCTGCTCATCATCGCTCTGCTAACGTCCCTTAGTTGCGTCACTGTGGTTCTGGATACAAAGGCTTAAAGTTTTGGCCGAACAGAGATTTAACTCCAGATGGAGCAGGCGCGGACACTTGTGCAGTGATAGCTTCGGGAATAGACTTATTGTCACGGTAAGGCTTTTTTCTTTCAGCACAATCTGTGAATCTGACTTTATATTAGGTTCTACTGTTTAAAAAATATTATGTGTTACCTTATGGATTCAGTGTTTTATTGTTATTCGATAGAGTAGCAGAGTTCCCATGGTTTTTATGATGCAGCAGGTTTTAAATTGAACAGGAAATAATTTTAATTTACCTGTAATAATACCTTTATTACAGTGATGGGGAGCCCTTCTTTAGTTTTTGCTCCATGACTACAAATAACAGCTGCATTTATACTGGGGTGTAGTTTCAGTCAGCTGACTGGCAGTTTGCAGCAACAGGTGAACAAAAGGCACTGCTGCATTTGCAATGGGGCTGATGCGGGAAGAGAAAACTGTGATTGAGCTTTAACTTTGTATGGGATCTCATTTAAGGAATTTAAAGTGTAATAAAGGAAGGAAGGAAAATGTTTAGGATATTTAAAGTCATGTTGTGTTAGGAAGGATTTAAAGCGGCCTAGTCACACATTATGAATAGCAAATTTACTATGTGTAAAGTCACAGTATGTGTCTATAGAAGCCTTTAAATCAGTTAATTTCACAGAAACACATCCAGAGGACAAGTTAAATAAAAAAGAAAAATATCAGCTTCTTTACTAGACACAATTTCATTCAGTAAGTCAGTAAATAACCAGCCAGTGTAAACAGGTCAACTTCATTAATTGCACTTCGTAATGCAGATGTCCTTTAAGCTAGAGTTCTTTTAAGGTTAATGTTCTGCTTTTTTTTTTTTTTTTTNCTTCTTTTCAGTGGATTGGCAGCCTCTCTGGTACTCATTGTCCGACTCGTCGAAACACAAATAACAATAAGTGCCGTAATGCGTACCCTTATGTTGGCATATCAGCTTTTGATACAGATCTGTTTTGCAGATATTTTTGTTGAATAGGATGCAGGATGCTTGCTAAGATTTTTTTTTTTTTTTTTTTTTTTTTTTTTTTTTTTTTTTTTTTTTGACCCTCCCTGCTACAACATGTGTAGCCGCCCCTCAGCTCTCTGCCCTGCCTCTGTGCTTCGACACTCGCTGGCCTCTCTAAATTCAGGCTAATTCAATTAACAAACACACACTGCTGCGCTGCCAGCTGGAAACCTCCCAGAGTCACTGATAAGTGAGCAACCCATTGTCCTGGGGTGATTGTGTTTAAGGAACAGACAGAGGAACCCACCTAATCCTTCCTCACCTCTGCTCTCTTTCACTCCTGTTGTTGCATTTCACCTTCCTCCTTTGCTCCTGCCTGAGCAATATTCTTCCTAATATATCTGTGAGGACACTGTCTGTTTAAACATGACTGGTTTTCTTTTTAACAACAGGAGCTAATTTCCCCTCTGGTGCATACTGGCCAGCAGAAAGCTGATGCAAAGGTGTTTTTAGTCCAACCTGTAAAAACATCTTCGATCACACAGATCTGTAACACTTTTAAAGTTTTTTTAAAGCTGGATAGCATCTTGCTCTGTGTTACACGTCATATTTGGTATTGCTGTTCACTGTTAAGACGTGAGGGCTGTGGGAAGAACTGTTAGTGGGAAGAAATACAAACCCCTTGAATTACCCACTGAGCTGCAGGGCCTGTGGACATCCCACTATGAGTTAGTTTAGCTTCTGTGGTATGTTAACAACTATCTCACTGGTTACAAAAAAAGAAGGACCATGGCTCTTAATTCTCATGTGGCGGCATTGACGGTGTTTCACTAAGTGTGATAATGAAGAGAAGATTGGATTTGTCAACTCTGTGCTAGCCCTGTTTGAAATTAACACTTGTAATGTGCAAAAGATAAAGCTGCAGAAAAGAAACTCCTGTCACAATGTGTGACATCTTCTGGTATGCCAAACAGAAACTATAGTTAGCTGAAACAGGCTCTACAAGGTCATAATTTCCCTGTGCAGGTTTCATGTGCAATCCTGTGTATCACCCTCTGCATGGAAAACAAGGTAAGAAGAACTAAAGTAATTATAGTAGTAAAATCTAAAACAATCTAGCAGATGTAATCTTCTTTGTCTTAAAAAAACAACAACTCTGCCTGTAAAAAAGGTTTGTGCTCTTAAGACGGTGTGAGCGAGCTGAGGCTTTTGCCACGGTCATGTCTCAGCATCGTGAGCGGGACCAGCTGGATGCCATTCCCAATGGGAATCATGAATGTGAAGGTTGTTAAAAAATATGAAGCCTTGCACTAAGCATGGACTCAGTAACAGCAGCTGGTTGGTAGGGGGAAGGGAACTGGGAGAGAAATTGTCGCACTGGGAATGAGTTTAAAAAGAGGAATTTTTAACAGTAGCCATGGGAGGAATGTGTTTTGGGGCATTGTGACTAGGAAATGGTATACACACAACATTATAAATGTTAATATCAGAGTTTAAAAGCTTAAAATCCACACAGGTCACTTTTTTTTATGTCTGCGTCTGTGCTTTTCTTCATACCATGCCAAGAAAAACAGAGCAGAGGAGACGGGCGTTTGGCAAACATGTGGAACACAACTGCACCTTTAGTGCGTCTCCCTCTGGTCTCGCTCATAGACAGCTCAAAGACACAGACTCAGCAAGGGCTAAGAAGACCTCCGAGTTAGAGCAACAAACCTTCCTCTGGCTGGGTCAACAGTCTGACATTCACACCTCACCAGCAGGTTCATCTCTCCGCCATCCAGACTCGCAGCCACACATGAAAAATAGGCTATTAGGAATATGAAAAGGAAGGATTGGCGTGATGACAGTGGGGAAAGGTGCAGAGCAGGAATGACAGGAGTGAAGGAGAGACCGAGGACAGGCTAAGTGGTTTTGATTTGTTCTCCTCATTGGATTTATGAAGCCACTTGTCTTGTCATCTTCAGCAAATGCTCTACCTCTTAATCAGCACAATGAAAATTCACAAATATACAGTGCTCGGAAAAGGGTCTCACGCCACTCCAAATCCTTTTATACATAAACCTTAGTAGGTTTTAAAAACAGTATCCCAAGCTTTGAGCATTTTACTGTTCAATTCATCATCACAAAATGAAAATGGTTTGGTTTGAATTCACCTGTACGTCGCTCTGTTCCGCAAAGTGTTCCGCACTTCATGTAAGGAACATCATGGAATGAGCCTGATTTGATCTATGTGGCTGATATTCTAATCATTATGTGTGATGATAATCTTATCTCTGCATGAAATCTCAAACTCGGTGGTGGCAGCACAATGCTCAGGGATTTTCTTCTTTAGGGAGCAGGTCAGAATTGATGAGAGGATGGATTAAAAAAAATCCTTCTGTAGCTTCCTCCTGGATGACTGTAGATGGGTTTAGCTCTGAAGCATATTCATGTTTTACAAATTCCATGTCCAAGCCTAGTGTGAAACCCAACTAAAAATCTTTAGCTAAGTCTCACTAAGAGTTGATGTTTGCAGTTGATTTGCATGCAATCGGAATCGGTTTCAGCTATGCTCCACAGAAGGAAAAAGACTATTATTGAATGCGCATTTTACATTTTCATGAAAAACGCTGTTTGTAAAATAATTTATAAAAAAATTGTATTCTTTGCATGAGGTAAATACAGTTTCTATTTATAGTTTATTATGATTTATAGTTTAAAATCTCTGCTACTTCCAATAGTGTTTACAAGCAGACTTTTATTCGTCTTTAATCAGGTTGTTATGTGTTTTTGTGCATAGATTCCCTGTCTGCACAGATTAATGGATATTTTGACTGTTCTTTAGCTGCTTTGAAAGATGTTTATATATATATATATATATATATATATATTATGCTCATTACCTTGGTTTTCTTTTCCTTTCTCTAATCCAGCTTTTCATTTCTCTGTCTTTTAACTTGAAAGTTTCTCATCTTTATCTGAGTGTAACATTTTAGTAATAGCCACTTTTATTTCTTTCCCAGTTGTTATTTTTCTCTTTTGTTGTATAGTCTAACTCTTAAACTGATGCTGTTTTTCATATCATTTAGTCTTGTGGTATCTTTAAGCTTTCATTTGTCTACTTGTTCTGCTGCTGTCACTCCCACATTTCCCACCAGTGGGACAATAAAGGTATTCTATTGTTTCTATTTTCAAGGTATCACATACATCCACCAATCTAGAGGTACAGCCAGGATAATTTACAGACCGACACAGAGCAAACAACATTGCACACTCACGCCTCTGATAGTCATGTTTGTGGACTGTGGGAGGAAGCCGGAGTTTCCATAGGGAAACTACGTATCAGTGCACAATACATGTAAACACCAGAAAGAAGGAAAAAGTAATGAAAGGATCAGAGTTAACTGCATTGCAGACAAAGAAAATAAGTTTTGTCTTATGCATTTGTTTTGTTTACGCAGAGGCTGAAAGCTGCCCTTTCCCACCACCCTGGTTCCATCCCCAACGGCAACATGAACTCAATGGGCCACATGATGGAGATGATGTCAACGCGGCAGGAGCAGGGCAACCATCATCACATGCATTCGCACCCACACCAGCACCTGCAAGCCCCTCCCCACACGTACCAGCACCACGGACACCACCACCACAGCCAGGGCCACGGCCAGGGTGGCCACCACCACCCGCAGGGACACAACCCTCATCACAACTCCCACAACCCACACCTCCTGCCTGGGCACCCACACCAGACCTCACCGCACCATCCTATGCACTCCGCCTCACAGGTACACAAAGCCAGTTCCCAGGGAAGGAGCTCCAAGGCAAAGCCGCATGTTTAATAACACATTAAAATATACCAGACATTAAATCTCCCACACAGTGAGAAGTAACTGACTAAAAGAGGGCAGTGATTCAGTAGCCCTTTGTGTAGATTTGGAAGAAGTTATTAGTGGTTTAATGCTCAAGCATTGCTGAAATGATGCTTAAAATAAGAAGGTTTGTGGACAAACCCATTTTCCCCTCTTTGCTTCATCACTGCCAACTAGTTTCCTGGCTTGCTTCTCAAAAAAAAAAAAAAAAAAAAAAAAAGGTTTTCTCCTGTGGTTGGTCAGCCACAGGTCAGAGCTTGATGCCTGTCATTAGGGCATGGCTAAGAGAGGAAGTCATAAAAGATGCTCATGACTGTCTTTAAGGAAACTTTGCCTCACATCATCCTGCACCAACAAACTCCAGATGTGGGGGCGCATGAGAGTTTCAGGTGCAAAAGGAGTTTAATGAATGCTAGTGCTGACGGTGGGCTGCATCCAATCATGTGGATCCTGGAAGCCGTTAGGTTTCATCTCAAAGAGATGGTCACAGCATATGACTTTCTCCTCGCATCGTCGTCGCTATTTGCAATGCCAATCATTTGGGATGAAGGACACTTGAAAAAAAATGCGACTCATTGTATGTTCCAGATGTTCCATTAAGGCATTAAAACAACCCTGTCTGTGTGCACAGCTGCCGTTAAAGCAGCTTGTGTTCTCCATGGTCCTCCATAAAAATGGTAATGATCTGAAGACTGAAAACACTTGACTTTGCCAAGTAGACGTCAAGATCTGTCAGAGCATGTACGGCTTTAGAAACGGGCCTTTTTAACCGTGTCTGTTGGTGTTAGTCTGAGTGGAAGTGGGCGTTGGAAAACTGCCTCCTGACACCTCTTTAACAAGGTGGGCAACTCTGGTGAATCGACCCAGTCACCCACTCAGTCTTTCACGTCTGACGCATGCAGCCCAGCCCCCGAGGCACGTTTTGCAAACAGATGTTGTTTTTGGGCAAGGTGCTAGGCATTAAAAAACAAGCAGGAGATAATGTATAGATGTTTACACACAAGCCGCTTTGAGGGCCGGCGCTGCGGCGATGGCAGACAGCTGACGGGCTGTTTTCCAAATTCCTGAAAGCGGTACACATGCAGACAGACGTTGTATCATCCCAGAGATCCCAATAATGACCGTCTTATGTACTGCGTGTTTCAGATGTCACCTGCAACCCAGCAGATGCAGCCCACGCAGACGTTGCAGTCCCCCCCACCCAGCGGCGGGCGCCGCAGACGGGTAGTGGACGAGGATCCGGACGAGCGACGACGAAAGTTTCTTGAACGAAACAGAGCAGCTGCAACGAGATGCAGACAGAAGAGGAAAGTTTGGGTGATGTCCTTGGAGAAGAAAGCTGAAGAGCTCACTCAGACCAACATGCAGCTTCAGGTATGAAGATAAAGCTCTGAATGAATTCAGGCCTCAGTGTGAGACTGTAAGCCGTGTAAAGTCCAACCAGACAATCATTTTTACAGTATTTTGCAAAATTATTTAAGTTTACCAAATTTTTCTACAGTACAGCAACACATTTCATTACATTCTACTATCATTATTCTATATTATTATCATTTTATTTTATAGACCAAAACAAATCAGTGCATACAAATGAAGCAGAAGTTTAAAAACTTGACATGTTTAACATACATTTGTCTCACGGAAACCTGAAATTTTACATGTAGATAGGTAGAACCACCTTGTAAAACCAATTATAGCTGAAGATCTATTGATGGTATATCTAAAGAGGTCTGCTTATTTTGTTTTTACAAAATAAGTATAGCTTAGATTAGATGGGGAGTATCTTTGAAAAATAGAAATTTATAAGCCAAGCTGAGGTCTTTCTATCGCATCAAAACTGGATATAAGATCTGGGTTGATGACCTTCTAGAAGCAAAACTTTCATCCAATTCTGTTTCCCCCAAGACTAAACTTCTAGTCGTCTCCATCCATCTTCTTGTAGATCTATTTGTATCTGTTTATAAAGATTTGTAGTGGTCTATCAAATATATATAGGCTGTTTTTGCAAGGCTCTCTAATTATAATGAATTAATTTATTTGTTTCAGGATTCCCACCACTAATACAAGCTGTCTTGTTTTTCAGAATGAAGTGACTATGCTAAAGAACGAGGTGACCCAACTCAAACAGCTTCTGCTCACACACAAGGATTGCCCCATCACCACTATGCAGAAAGAGTCCCAAGGTTACCTCAGTGAGTAGCCCCAAGCATAAACACAGATGACCCCATGCACACATTTGGGAATCTGACCAAAACTACACCTTCACCTGCAGACATATCGCTAATATGTCTGCCGGGACGCTTTGCTCTCATATGCTGGTATCCAGCTTCAATGCTCCCAGCAGGACTCTTTCTTTCGCACCGGGGTGTTGCATGCTCTGGTAGCCGGCCTGGACTGGGAGTTGGTCGTCTAAATCTCCTTAGAGACTAATTTTTCCGTCTGACAGCCGCTCTGTGCACAGGGAGTCGGCGTGAGAAAGCCCTCACAGTCTTCAAATTGGCTAAACCTTACCAATGACCACAATCGTTGTGACTTTTCTGACTGCGCTTCAGCTCAGCTTCGCATGACATCAGAGGTCCACCCTGTGATACGGACTCAAGTGATGTTTCCATGTAAATGAGGCACCTCCCTGTGCTAGCAGAGGAAAATAACGCTCACATCCCCAATGCTCTGAATGGCTCTTTTATGCAAACGAAAAGCCGCATCCCAGACAGGGCAGAAATGAGTTTCATCGATGAGTCTAGCCTGTGTGCAGATGTCATCTTCAATGTGTGTCTAAAATTCATCAACATGTTTGCATACACTTAACTGTATTCATGTTATCCTTATTTTTTTTTATTTTTTGTTGTTGATTATTTTGAAATCGTACATGTATTTAAAAAAAACTGTACATTAAAAAAACATATTTTTCCTACCAATAAATAGCTTTTTCTTTACAAATAATACCAAAATGGTTTGTGTTTATTTTTGTATCGTAGCATCTTTATTTGAAAAAGCTACGCATAACACATCAGTCTATCCTGAATAATGTCTCTGCTGTGTCCTTAGGTCCGGAGAGCAGTCCGGCGGGCAGTCCGTCCCCAGCGTGCTCCCAGCAGCAGCAGGTCATCCAGCACAACACCATCACCACCTCCACCACGACTGTAGGGGGCAGCACTGTTCACGGACAGGCCAATCACCGCACAGACATTAACCCCATCCATTAGTGACTGGAGAGTACCATTTTTATCAGATCCACCTCTGCTTTATTGAGGATTACCAGCTGCACATGCTTGGAAAAAAAAAAAAAACCTCAAAAGGCCCACGAGGCTGCTACAGTAGCTACAGTATATTTTTATAGACTAACTCTGTTAACTCGCTGTGGCTCTTTGGTTTTATCATTCTCGTTTTTCTGTCTGCTTTTTATTGCGACTGGCAGAGAGAAATTGTTGCTAATCTAAGGAGTTTTTCTATGTTGTTTTGGTACAAATCTGACCAAGGTGGTTACAGAACTAGAGAAAGGAGTCAATAGCATCCCATTACCTTCTCCAGAAACATCTTACATCTCTTTGGACTGAATAAGGAGTCAGATTATGACCTGAGCATCACGGGTGAACTTAGGTGCATGTGTTTTACACAGAATCGATATCAAACGGGCGCTATACATTTGTAAATTCTTATAGCTGGTATGATTGTCAGCATTCACCCTGTAATTTTAAATCTTAGAGCTTTATCATTATCTGCATGACAGCGACAATATCATGTGAACAGATGGAAGCAATACATTGCAGTATTGATTGTTTTTTTTCCTCACTGTACACCCGTATTATGATCAGAGTGACCAAAACCTTTGACGTCGTGTCAGCTACAGAACTGAACACTGTGATCCCGATGAGGCAGCTCAGGGGTTGAAGATCAACTCCTCTGCTCTGCAGGACCAACTCGAGCTTTAATCATTGAAGATTTTAATTGTTTATTATTGTTTTTTTTTTTTTTTGGCGTGTGTGTGTTCTGAATGTTTGGATTCAAATTTCGGAAATTTCAAAATGAAATGAGTTATGTCTGATTGTGGGAATGCATGTGAGTATTTGTATAGAATTTTTTTTTTATATTTTACTTCTTTCCTCTGCATAACAAAGAAGAAAAATGAATGAAAAAAGAATGATATGAGAAAATGGGAGAATTTTGTCAGCATTTTTTTTTATTTGGGGAACCTTTAGCTATTTCTTTCTCTGCATGCTTTCCAAGTTGCAATGGTGTTCCTCAATCTTTTTTCAAACTCCTCGTCAATTTATCCTTAAACATTTTTTAACTCTTTTTTTTTCTGATTAGCCCTCCTTGTAAAATATGAGGCAGAAACTCCTCTGCATCACAGACAGCTCTATTACAGGTGAAATCAGAATTGAACAGATTAAGGTTTTTTAGACAAATGTCTGGATCAACCCATGTAATCTATGATACTTTAATGCAATTATGCTACACCTTTTGTAATAATGTGGAATGTCACATGGAGTAAGCTTCAGGACATCTCTGATATCGGAGAAGCTAGTTGCATGGTGACCTGTTGACCTTCACAAATTCTCTTCAGCTCTTAGAGGTTTTCAGGAGCCTTCTCTATGCACTCTGTTCTTCATTCATAGGTGACGTACTGGGCCACTCTAACTGCTTTTTTTCTTTCTTTCTCTAAAACCACGAGAGTTTCCTTGGTTGTATTTTGGGTTATTTACTTGCTTGGAGAAAAAAAAAGCATTTCAATTTCATGTTCTATTCAAAAGTGTCCATTTCAATCAATTTTTTTTCATTTCTACTTCAGTACTGTAGAGTCCTTTCTCTAGGTTGAAAAAAACAACCCCACACCAATATGATATCTTAACCTCCCTACTAGCGTGGTGTTTTTGGGGATGATGTGCAATATCATTTGTCCTCCAATTTATTTAAGTATAATGATATTTAAAAACTTTAAGTTTAGTCTATATTGACCCAAGTACATTCGCCCAGTGTTGGATTGGTTTGTATTTTATTTCAAGCTCCAAGAGTTTCAGCCTGTTTTTCCTTCCGCAGTAGAGCTTGTGCATTAAGTGCATACAGGATCATTCTAAATATACTCTTTGGCTCTTCTGCATTCTTTTTTTTTTTTCTTCTTCCGCCTACTCTTTCAGAGATTTTGCAAGAAACGGCTGTCTGTGGCCCTTGCTGTGTTTGCTGAATATTTTTGAAGTTTAGTTTTCAAACTGCATCTATGAATCCCGGTGGCTTAAAGAAGGACATCCAGGTATCACTGGGGGGGTGGGGGGGTTAATATCTCTGGATTTTTTTTTAGCTTTTTTCATCTTTTCAATATTTATTTCCTGTTTCTATATGCATTACTGTTTGGTTTTTTTTGACATGTGGTTTTAATTTCAGATCAGTAGCCTTAGTAGATATATTAACTGAGAAAAAAGAAAAGATTTGTTAAAGGCTTGTTTCCCCTTTTCTATTTCTGTTTTTTTTTTATTTCTCACACCTCCAAACTTCTCACATTAACCATAACTTCTCTTCCTCTCCTCTTCTTAATGACCAGGAATGTCAGCTGAACTGCATGCAGACCATAATGCACTGTGTTTTGGAGTAGGATACATTCCACTGACAGGTGGAGCGATCGCAGAGTCGTCTATGCACTTTTGTCCTCCGTGGAGTCGGAGGGTAGAATAGCCATATTAAAAGGTCAGAGTAATTCTCAGCGATCTCCCATCTGCAAACACCAGCGAGAGAAACATAGATGTGTTTTGCCATTTTTCTCTAAGGGGCCATGACTGGCCTGCATCACAAGGGGACCTAAAGTTTGGGTATGGATGTGAGGCCGTTTGACTTGTGCTGTAGGTGTTATCAAAATGTAGCTTTTTTGTAGTCTCTCGACGTTGTTGCCTGCATGTGCAGCTCAGAATGAGTAATAATGAGTGAGAGAAATTCTCTTTAAAAAAAAAAGGGCTCTGTCTTACCACCCCTCTGACCTGAAGATTGCCTTATTTTTAGTTTGTTAAACTAATGATGTCTGAACTTATCTTTTTTTTTATTTTGCATGTGAAAAATATTTTGGTGACCTCAGAATACTTTAACTGGAATCATTAAACTTTAAAGTTGTGTAGAAATGTCCTTTTTTCTCTCTATCTTAATTCAAATTTATTACCAAGAAAAGCATTTGTTAATTCTTTGGGCAAACAGAACAGTCAGATGGAAGCGTACATGTGCATATCCTTGTGCAACATCACTTAACGATGTTGCGACTGTATTATTTTAAATCTATAAATATTGTACATAATATCATTAATTTCTATAATCCTGTACATGTATTGACACCACCTTTCTTTTTGAAGGGAGTATGAAATGTGTGGTACGTCTGTAAATAATGTTTTCATAGCACTTGTTGCCTTTTGTTGTACGCCTAAACGTGAAGGCTCATTCCAGCGCTTAGAAACCTTGTTTATATGAAATGAACTGATGAATCCATTCATGCCTGCATAACTTTGTACATTTTGTGTGTGTGTTTGTGTCTGTAATTACGTTGCCTTTGTTTTATTTTGCATTTGTACAGACATTTAATATCATTCCAATTACATTACGGTATGAAAATAAAGCACTTGTTCTGTAACATTCGAATTAGCCCTGTGATGTGGAGTCGCTTCTTTTCGAGATTTCTTTGTGTGTATGTTTGGATGTAATCCTGTTAATGTGATGTGATCAACTACTGTTCACTATGCTTGCCCTTGAAAAAAAATAACAGCTCATTAAATAGTTAGATGCTTTAAAGGTTTAGAATGCTCATTAATTATTAAGATGTCTAGACAGCTTGATAGATGCCTGATGAAATGACATGGCAGTTAACGTCGGTGCACACATGCCAGATCCTGGCTGATGGATGTAGGGTGCAAGGTACACTCACAGAAACATAGGAACATCCCTGCATAAAGGTCTTCATTTTAAACTTGTTTTATCCTTAAAATCTATCACAGATGAATAGTATCTGCCATTCAAACCAGACTTATTTATGCCAAGTATATCAGGAATTTGCAATAGTTTGATTATGTCATTGCAGCAAAAATAATAGAGCAGAGTAATCCTTTGTTGACTAACAGTGGGGAAAGAAGAAAGTAAGGAAAAGTTTACATTTAAAAAAAGGGTACAGTTATCAAGAGCAGCGTACTTAGGCTAAATGAAATATGCAGCTAAGTAGAGTGATCTGGAAGCAAAAAATGCAAACTTTGTAATTAAGGTATTATTTTTCCACTAGTTGCAAAACTGTAATTAACAACAGGGGTGTCGACGACTTATTGGGTTTGATCAGCAAAGATTATAAAGACATTGGGGGAAAAGATCTGCAACAGCACTCCTTTATGCGCCCAAGGTGCAGCAGTCTCTGCAGTTCTGTAACAGTTTTATTCGTGTGGTGGGAGACATTGCCCAACAGAGATGTTATTTTAGTCAAGTTTTCTTTCTTCCAACACTTGAACTGGTTCAATTGTTCGTCGTCGGATAGAGGTGGCCTAAAAAAAGCACTTCTATACTGAAAGGAAATTTGAAAGCCTAAGAGTTTGGAAAGGAATTGTGCAAATAAAAATGAATAGGACTCGGTTCTCCAACCAATGTGTTCTTCCCATGGAGTGGCACAAGTAGTTTTGGGAAAAAATAAGATGTGTCTAATTCTATTTCCTGTTTCTTATGTATGTCACATCAGAGAAGAATAAGTAACTGTGTGTTAAGCAGAATGTTTGCCTTAAGGAAATAAGACCAAAGATCCTGACTTGATAAGGATGTTAAGGTTGCCACACTATTCATTCTTATTCACAACAAAATAAGTACATCAATGTTTTTTGTTTAATTGTTCTCAAGACATTTAATCGTGCAGACTATACCTTTATTACCAGAATATCATTTGTCATCTAGGATTTGGATCTTACAGATGTGGATGCAATCAGTCAGTGGGCATATATGTTAATGTGGACATGGTGTTTACCACACTCAATATGGACAAGAAAAAGCAAAGGACATGGTTGTCTCAGGAGATTGGAAAGAAAATAATGGACAAGCATGTTAAAGGTAAAGATGATAAAACATGTATGTCCAAGTTCGGTCCTAGAGGGCTGCTGTGCTGGAGGTTTAAAATGTTTCTCAGCTTCAACACAGCGGATTCTGATGATTGCAATTCAGTAAAATCTGTTAATCAGTTATTAATGTAAATCTGCTGTGCTAAAGCAGTGACACCTCTAAAACCTGCAGGACAGTGGCCCTCGAGGGGCCACTTACGACATGTCTGCTATAAGAGCATCTTCAAGCAGTTTGATGTTCCTGATGCTACAGTTGAACAAGTTATTCAGAATCTTAGGATCCATTGGACTGTAGCCTACCTCCCCAGAATGTGGCAGCAGGAGGAAAATGTATGACAAATCAAAGAGATGGATAATATGAATGATTACAAAAGAGCCCATAAAAACTTCTAAAGGGATTAAAGTTGATCTTTAAGCTCAAGGAACATCAGTGTCTGATCACACTATCAGTCATTGTTTGAGCTAAAGTGGACTTGATGGGAGACAACCAAGGAGGACAATATGACAGACTGGAATTTGCAAAACTACATGCTGATAAGCCATAAAGCTTCTAGTAGAATGTCGTACGGACAGATGAGACAAAGATTGAACTTATGGCCAAGACATCAGCTCTATGTTCAAAGATGGACAAATGAATCATATCGAGAAAAGAACACTCTCCTTCCCTACAGTCCTTTCATTGGACCCTGAATCTCTGCAGGGTTGAATTAAATCTTAACGCTATCAAGGGATTCTGGAGAGAAATATACTGCCCAGTGTTAGAAAGCTTGGTCTCAGTCACAGGTTATGGGTTTTCAACAGGGTAATGACCCAAAACACACAAATAAAAACACCCAAGAATGGCTAAGAAGGAAACATTGCACTTTTTTGAAGTGGCCTTCTATGACCTAAATCATGTTAAGCATCTTTGGAGCAATCTAGAAAAGCTTTCAAACCTGAGACACTGGAGCAGTTGGGTCATGAGGATTGGACCTAAAATACCTGCTCAGAGAAGCAGAAGTTGCATTGACAGCTACAGGAATTGTTTGAATGCAGCAACTTCCTCTAAAGAATGTTCAACAAAATAATTAGGGTACCATCATTTTTGTCCAGGCCTGTTTATTTATTCGTTTAAATCAGTGTGTTGAAGCATGGTTGAAGAGCAAAATTTGACTTTTAATTTTTCATTTTCATATAATTTTTATTTAATATTACTATTCCTGTGACCATTGTGTGGTTCTCTTTAATTAAAATAGGGGCACCAACTATTTTTTCAACATCTGCAGACCAAAATCGTAGATGACCTTTGATATTAAAGTTTAGATTTTTTTTTTTTTTAGAAAAAACTCTTTCACTGTTTAACACAGAAGTTTTTTGGGGGGCTTTGGACCCAACTTAGATTAAGATGAGAATAAAAGGAAAAAGAAATACAAATAATAAAAAAAAAACTATTCAATTTTTTACAGAATCAATAAACATTGATTGAACTCAACAAAAATCAGAATCAAAATCATCCATATGTATGTGTAGCCTTTCTGACAAAACATGTTTTAATATGTAGTTGTATTTATCCTGCTATTGTTTATCTAGTGGTGAATCAGGCACACTGTTTTATTTTCTTTTCTAACACTGGATTTCCAAGGAAATTTGCACCGCTTTTTCATATAACAAGAAGTTAGGCTGCAAAACCTTCATAGATGAAGCAGATCCAGCTCTAACAGCTGTCAAACACATGCCCCACACTTTATTGAGAGATTTAGTTTGCAATTCTTCAACCAAAATGAACAAAATAAATATTTTATAGCACCAACTAGAAACAAAACAAAAGCCCCTCATTGACCAACTTCTGCTTTTGTTTGCATTTTTTTCTGCTGTTACAATCCATTGAAATATAGCGACCCCTTGTGTACCCTTTCAAAATAAACACCCATTGGAATAAGACCATCCTATACTAAAAATCAAGACATGTTATTTAAAGCACCTTTATTTTTAGGTTTATTCACACAAAAATCTTGCAGAAGCTCAAGTCTGATCAAACAAAAACAAAACTTTTCAAACTGATTTGTGTAAAATAAAAAAAGTGAGCTCAGAGTTGATGGATCAGATAAAATATACAAAATACACAAAAAAATTGTTTGTTGTGACAATCAACCATCTTTAAAATCAATATGTTCCGTGAGCCCATAAGAATTTCCTTTCACACCCAGCCTCTTGTTGACAAAAATCTGTCGATCATATCGAAGGATCTCGCTGGCTGGTCATAAGGCAGGATGTGTCCCCCTCCTCTGATGATGACCTGGGAAACATGGACCGGTTAAAATTCAACAATTACCATCCCTGCTCGTCTGCATGTGCCCTTCGTCCTGCCCGTCCGCTCACCTGGAAGAACTCCCCGACTTGCCTGACGTAGCCCGCCACCTCAGTGTCAGTGGGCTGGAGCTGCCAGGGGAAGCGGGGGGCTGTTTTATACTCGGCTGCTCCACTCCAGTTTACAGTTGGCAGGAATCTCTCGGTCAGAGGAGCAGCTACGATCACATCCAGCTGACCACTATAGATTAGGACCTATACAACAGTCACACTGACTTTTAGTGAACAATTCATTTCAGGAAATTAAATCATTCCTTTAAGCGATGTCCCTGCTGGGGATTACCCTGTAGTTGTCCATCAGAACGCCCAGCCATGGTTTGATGCTCTTCATGACATCCTGCAGGAGGTGCTTCTCCACCTCAGAGCCATCATGGAAGGTCAGGTTGCCCACATGGATGGCCTTCCTCACAGCAGGCAGAGTCACAAACTGAGAGAAGTACTCCTGGTCTTCAGGCTCCTGTCAGACACACAAAAAGGTAATACATGAGATCTGGACTCAAAAAGTCCAATCTATATCATACATTTGATCTGCCAAACCACTGAACCAGGTGAGTCCAATCTGCACAGGTATATTCACTGTGCAGATTGAACAAATACATGGCATGGAGATTATTTGTTGGCTCCAGAACCCCCATCTCTGAAGCTCAGTCTGTTTTTAAAGCATAAACTAGAGCAGCTCATATTTCATACCCGACACATCATGTAGTTGAAGTAGTTGGTGCAGCCTGTAGCATTCTGGAAAAAGGAGGGATACGGATCCACGTCGCCGTTCAGTAAAGAGTCAAAAACCTGAATTCAGAAAAGGAAAATGCTTCATTTCTAACATTTGTTTCCGAAGCGCACAAATCTTCCCGGATGGTTGAAAACCAATGCAAATCTGTCAAATACAAAAAGACCAATATTACAAAGTACAGATCCGGATTCTACCTTAAAAGCCTCCACCCATTTCTGCTGCTGGATAAGTTCTACGCCGAGGTCCGTCTGTTTGTCCACATACTGCTTCTGGAGCTCATCTATCATTCCTGTCTGATACAGGAACTCTCCATAACCACCAAGCATCTAGTAAAGTTTCACAGAACAAATACAGTACAATTTAAAAAAATAACAACAACACTAGGCAGTTACATCTGAAATCTATAGATCTATGCAGCTTTCATCTAAAGATGCACGACACCCACCAATTCTGGATCACAGAGTCCATCCCCAATAGCCATGCCCTTGAAGTTGATCTTCACCTTTGCAGTGGGATTATTTTTGTGGATGTAGTAGGAAACTGCAGGGACATATTTCCCTGCATATGACTGTCGAAATAAGAAAATGCAAAGTGAAAAAGATGCTCCATAAACTTGGAGTCAGAGGAATGTAGACTATCACGCTAAGTCTGCTTTACTCAGTCAGGAGCAGTGGTGCTTCTGTGTTCATCATCATTGCTTCTTCAGTGCTGTCTTAAGGTCAATGGCAGCTAAACTGTCACTGCCACCACCATGCTTGAGAGGTAGAGGGCTGTTCTTATGTTTAAAACCTCCAAATTACTTCTCCATGCATACCTTTTGTCATGTGGACAGATGATGCATTCTTTAATCAGTATTTATAGTTTTGAGGCTAGATCAGATTTAAACTGTTCACCATGTTGAAGTCATAGAACAGTTCACATTGCACTTCAAAATTTGTAAATCCGAGGATCTGATAAGTTTATTTACATATTGTCAGAACTCTCTCTAGTCATTATTTTTAAATAGAAAAAAAGATCAATTTATGTGTTTAAATGCACAAATATTACAGGAAAAAAATTTACCTCCCCAGTTGCATAGAACTCGTTGGACTGATACTCAGGAAAGAGCTGGAAGAACTGTGTTAAAGCACTATTAAAGATGAAGAGAGTCAAAAGTTAGAAGCAAATAGAACAAAACCATCTCAGAGAAATGATGTCCAATGGCGGATCAGGACCGCACACCTGTACAGATCTCTCCCAACATCATCCTGGTTTTTAGCAAATCCTCTGTCATCATCAGTGAAGCTGAAACCTGTTCCAACCTGCAAACAAAACACACCTCATAAAGTTTCATACATGCTGAGCTGAAGTTTGGCTGCAGTGATGTTTAGATTTTTTTTTTTTGTAAGTTAAAATGGGGATATAAATACCGGATTATCGATGTACAAAACTGAGTATCTGCTCGTCCATGCGTAATCCCTCAAACCAACTGCAAAGAGAGAAAGACTGCAGCTCCAACAAAACTGTTAGAGCTTTACAATGTGTGCCGCTCTTTTGGGCCGGACCAGTTCTTACCAGTCAGGTTCTGGTAAACCACATAGGGTCCATGTTCCACAAAGAGGCCGAACATAGAGGTGCCACCTGGTCCACCTTGCAGCCAGAGCAGTACTGGAGCCTTGTCCTGGCCTGCCTGGAAATGAGGGAAGAAGAGGAAAATGACAACTCAGCACCACCTAGTGGTGAGATACATTTAAAAAGAAAACAAAAGAAAAAGTTTTTAAAACTGATTCTTAAAGCAAGAAATGCAAAAAAAAACAGGATGTGAACCTAGAAAAGTGGAATTAATGAGGTCCATCCCAGCACAAATAAAAGGAGAAGAAATAGCGATCACTAGGTTTCCATACATTTTAACAGCCATTATTCTCATACTGATGCTGATTCAAAGAATCTGAATTTTCAAAGAAAACAAAAGAAATTATGCATTATGAAAAATAAGCCCAGAGTTCATGCAGGGTTTATAAATGACATGCACCCTACCAAGCTCAGTGCTTTGCAAAAACTTGGTGTGGCAGAGACTTTATCTGATCCTGAAGCGGCTCAGGAACATCGTCTAGCCGGATCTCTCTCTGGTATTCTAGTTTCAGACATCAGACCCAAACTGTCTGCGTGAAACAAATGGAAATTTACCAGAATGATCAGAAACAAAGGCTGAAGCCAGCCATGAGCTAGCAACTACTGGAAAAACCACAGTTACCCTCAACAACGAGGCACATTTTATATGAACATGCAGAGAGAGTGAAAATCAGAGCTGCACCCAAAGACAACCCACATGCATTCTGCAGAAATGGTTTTAAAGTCATGTTAGACCAAGATAGATTTACAGGACCATCAGTTCACAGAACAAGATTCAAACTGCCAAGCACGGGGACGGCAGCATCATGCTGTGGGTCTGTTTCTGCAGCCAGGAATAACAGTGTCTTGCACTAAATCAGAAGAAATCAACTAAATCAACAGCTTGATGTTTGAATTGTGAATTTGGAAGCACCATATACGTCAGGCACAAAGGATGCGAGACTTTCAACTAAATAGAAGACAGGACCTCTGTTTATATTTAAAGCTGCATGTGTAACTGTAATCCTCTTTGCATTAGTAATGATTAATAACAAAGTCAAGCACATGAACCCCATTCTTGTTTATTTAAACTCACTGAAAATCTGTTCAGTAACACCTGGATATCCGCAATGTAAAAGTGCGGAAAGCCTGAGTTCCTTTAAATCAAGACTAAAAACACATTTGTTTCGGATTGCCTTCGACTCTTCTAGTTAAACAGTTCAACTGAAAAATCATTAGTTCAACTTTTTTCTTTTCTTTAGGCCAACTGTTTTTAATGTTCTTCTTTGTTTCTGCATTTTTTATTCTATTTGTTTATTTTTTTTCCTACTTGCATTGATTCTCTTTTATTTTCCTATATTTTAATAATGTAAAGCCCTTTGCATTGCCTTTGTACGGAATTGTGCTATACAAATAAATTTGCCTTGCCTTGCCTTACTAAAAACAGAGATGAGTGATGAGCATTTTGTAAAAGGAAACCAGGCGGTCTCTGGGTTTAGTTTAGTTTAGTTTTATTAGGATCCCCATTAGCTGCCAAATAAATGGCCACTAATCTTCCTGGGTCTACTAAGTTCCCAATTGGCTTTCACTCTTTATGATCCATATAAATATCTCACCTCTAATCACAAATGTAACCTAAAGCGTTAAAAGCCAGAGATTTGGTATTGCATTTATTTCATCAACATTTTAACTAACAGGACGGCAAACTCAAAGGTATTTCCGGTAAAATAATAAGCTGCTGAAATTGCAAACTGAGGTTCAAGTTTTATAGCATGTCAGGAGTTTGCATGTGACTTAAAAAGCATAGTTACTGATTTATAGATGTAAAAAGAGAAATATTTAGTTCCTAAAATGGCTTAATTTTGCATTGCTGGAGTGGCTTAATCACCCTTTCAGGAATTATTCCTAAAACTGATTAAATGGAGAGAGTTACTGTTGTTTGAGAATACTTCCTCAAAAAGAAAGTGCATGATCCGCTGAATCTGCTGAGGGTAAGGCAATGAATGCCTGCTGCAGAACAACAGGCGGATCTCACCATATATGCAGGGAAGAACCAGAAGAAGAGGTTGCTGTTGTAGGTCTTGTTGACAGTGAAATATCCAGCGTAACTCTTGACATTGGCCCCAGGCATTTCTCCAACAATACTCAGCTTCCTGGCTGCACCAAATCAACAAGGTGTGTCAGTTCAAAAAAAAAAAGAGGTTAGTGTCTGAAAAAGTTAGTGAATATATGTGTCTTTCTGGTGTAAGAAGGTTCCTTTACCTTCATCTATGGCGCCTTTCTCCAGATAAGGAGTGATAAACAGAGGGGCCCCGGGGTCCACTCCATTCAGACTGCTGACTCTGTGAGATTTCCTGCAGAAAAACGACGAGCAGCCTCGAGCGGCTGCTGCAGAGTCCAGACAGGCCCAGAGAAACAGGAGAGCCAGAGTTTCCCTCAGCATCCTGCAATCAGGGACAGGTTTCACATCAGACCTACAGACCATCCGGGATTTATGTGTGAGCCTCAAACACCGCACTGAGTCAGGTTTCATAACCAGAGAAAAGGAAGAAACATCCCGCTGTGGGCTAAAGGAGAGACAGACCACCACTCACCTCATTATCCTGTGGTTTCTATGGAAACGAAGCAGGTTTCAAGCTTCAGAGAGGAGAAAAGCGCCAGTGATCTCTCTCTGTGGTATTAAACAGATCATCGCAGTGAACCGGAGTCACGTGACTGGATTGGAGGTCACATGAGCGCCATGAACCACGTGGTTGTTCTGAGAGTCTAGACGGAACCCTGAGCAATGTCTCGCAGGAAACATAGCAGCCTTAATGAATGGACTGAGGCTGAAAGGGAAATTGATCTCACTAAATATTTGGTTGCTTTTTTGTTAGTAATGAAGGCAATTTAAAAAATTTTCAAAATTACCTTCATATTATGTGCTTAAAAAAAATTTATGGACCTCATTATTTCCACATTTCAGTTTAAGTAACAGCCTAGAGGCCTAATTTTTATGAATTCATTTATCAGAGGAGGCATATCATTGTTCATCTGGTCCAATTACTTTGTTTCATAAAATTTAGAAAATTTAGTAACATTGACATAAACCCTAAACCAGGGGTCTTCAACGTTTTCCAGGCCAAGGACACCCAATGGCGAGATGGAGCAGGGACCCCCTAATTATATATATGGTATGAAATAGTGTCAAACTGGTCCTATAGTCACTTTATTACATATGGAGTCATGTAATGAAAGTATTTTTGCCCTGGGATTATTAAAGCAGGGCTGTCAACTCTCACCCATTGGGTGAGACTCACCCATCTCGGTGTCTTCACACACTCTCACTCCACGTTCCCAATTTCTCACACTAAAAAATGACAGACATTAAAACTCGACTCCATTCCACTTATTCATGTATAAAAATACCATGGGGATTTTCAATACAACCTTAGTGTTAACACACAAGGACTAGCCAGGTTTATTTTGGTTCATTGAATATGTTTAAAAACTTAATTTCCATCACACCTTCCAAATAAAACATCCAGAGAAGTGCCGTCTCCTGTCATGGCGAGCTTTTATAAAATCTACAGCCTCCTAGAAGGTCTGAATTGTTTAGCTGTTTTGTCAATTGTAAGAAAAACTAATAACATAATGAATAAAGCTTTTTAATCTTTAGCCTATTAGCAAATATTTATACACAGTGAAGTTTACATAGGTTTTGATTGCCCTGGTTCCTGTATTAGTGCCAGTAATCCAGTCATAACTTATTAGTTCCCCATTGTTTAATTTAGTTGAACTGCAGAGAATAGTTAATAATCAAAGCTGTGAAATTCTTTGTTTAAAGTATATTTAAGATGCAAGTATTTTAGTGCTGCCCATTCTGCTGTTCTTCAATTCCTTAAAAATCACCAGAATGTAGAAAATAATGTATATTGTGTGAAAAATGTTCCACATAACTGCAGACCACTTATTGTTACTCAGTAACATTTACTGTGGTATAAAAATTGCACATTTTGCAACTTTGCTTCAGTTAAATCCTCTGAAAACCTCCAACCAATAGCTGCACTTGTCCTCATCTAAACATGACAGGGTTTCCTGTCCAAACTATTTCAAAATCTCACCCCAAGGTTTGGTGAAAAGTTGGCAGCGCTGTTAAAGTGTTTCTGATTCCTGGTTGATGGGACAGGTGTTGTGAATGAAATGGTGCCAGCTTGAAAGAGCTCCTGTGTGTCGCTGAATGTGTACATTGATGACTGAAAGACATCTTCTGCCTCCATTTTTGTTGAATTCATGTTCATGTGTATTTAAAGACATTTCAAATACTGGGAAAAAAAATTGCAGGGGGGAATATTAAAAAAAAGCCTAATCAACCAAAACTTTCGGGACCCCATGTAGTACCTCTGTGGATCCCCTAGGGGTCATGGACCCCCTGTTGAAGACCTCTGCCCTAAACCCTTTGTCACAGTGTGAGTACATTGAAGACGTAAACTAATTGATGTAAGAATAAAAGCATTAACACAATAACGTATCAACACAGCAGATCTTTTTCCAGGACTGGGAGCGGGTGCAGCATTCTCTGCAGGACCATTCTCT